CACAACTTTATTTTCTTTATTTTTTAGATTTTTTGGTTTATAAGAGAGAGAGAGAGAGAGACAAAGTCACTAAATTTATATTGAAGAAAAAGAGAGAGAGAGAAAGTCACTAGATTTCTATTGAGGAGAGTTGTTAGCATCATTTTCAACCAAGAAAAAGATTGTTGTTTTTATCGATGAGTTCTCTTTCAAGTTTCACGTGGTTATTCCTTGCCCTTAACCTTGTGTAGGAGGGTAGATATGAGGTAAGTGGCTTTTTTTTTTAATCCAAGTTGATTTTGGATTTTTGATCAATATTTGGGTTATTTAAGTCAATACAATCCTTTTTTTTTTCTCTAATATTTTACTCTTAATTCCATTCAAATAGATTGGTAAAAAAAATAATTTGACAATTCTTGTATTAGATGCCGTTAAATTTTTATTTTTTATTAGATCACAAACTTTTTTTATTATATTAGCAAACACTCTTTTTAAGCAACTCCTCATAAATTTTCTTATAAAAAATAATTTATCTAATCACTAATTTTTTTTAGTGTTGTTTGATTCAATATCATTTGATTTTTTATTTATTTTTTAGAAATTTTCTAGCATTATTTTTTAAAAATATTAGTAGAGATTTTTTTCAAAAATCTTCTTTTTATTTATATCAAATCAAGTTTTAACCAAGTCATATCAAGTCAACTCCAACACTAATTTGAAATCTAAGCTAGGTAAAATCCTAGATCAGAGGTCTCTCAACTTCTCAACTGTGTATTTAGTTATCATTAGCAACTCTTTTTAATATTTACTAACCCTTTTAATCATTTATCAGTTTTTTAAATGGATGCATAAATGGTTTGACTTGCTATAACATACATTGACAAAGAATATATTTTGTTAACAAAAACTTGATATGGAACCATGGCTCTACTCTTAACACTAGGGATATTAAAATATATTTTTTCTCCTTTATTTTCATCAAATTTTAATTCATGCTTCGGTAAGCTGTTGTTTTTAAAAAAATTGTGCTTAAGTCAAATGCCAAAAAAAGGAAAAAAGTTGTTAGGTAATGAGGTTTTAACTAAAAAAAATCTTATTTTTAACTTACTTGAAATCATTTAGTTTTTTTTTATTAACTCTAATTTCTTTAACATTTTTATAAGATTATTAAAAAAGATATTTAAAACAAATATTGAAAAAAATATATTAATTCATAATTTTTCTTCTAATTTCTTACCATTTTTATAATATTATTAAAGTTTTTATTAAAATAATTATTAAAATAAAATATATTGATTCATAATTTTTCATGACAGTGTAAAATGCTTTGTCAATATGCTTACATCTTTTTCTTGCATTAACAAAAATAATGTTTTAACCAGCGGTGAAGCATTGGTACCCAGCTAATATTAACAATTTTGAATAGACTAGTCAAAACACAACCTCCTTAAAAATCAATGTAATATAGAATTCATATTGCTTACATAGAATTAGATACGAAACTTTATTATCTATTGAAATATCTTGTATTCGAAATACTAGTCAAATTAATTGTGTAATGTATTTGTGCATGAATAATTTTTGTGTAAAAAATTTAATTTGAGTTAATAACAATAAAATTGTATATCTTTATTTGATGATCAAATAATCATTTAGGCTTTTTTTTCAACAAAATTTTGTATATTTTCTCAATCAAATTAACTTTGATTTTTTTATAAAAAACCATTTTTATATATAGTTAAAAATAGTCTTGGTGTATGCGATTTGCCGACGAGCCATATTATTTTTTAAACCAAATGATATAACATTCTATTTATATTGACCAAAAAGAACTATAAATGCAGTTTTGTAATAGTTTTTTGGATGAATTTGAATTTGTCAAAATCCTAACTTTCTATCAAACTTTAAAAATATAAATGCAGAAAGTAATTTTTATAACAAATCTATTTTTTATTTTGGAATCAAATAGATGATTCATTTTAATTTTTTGTTTAAGGGCTTGTGATTTAGAATCATCATTGGTATGCCTCATTCAATTTCAGAATTTTATTTAACATAAAAAGCTACAAGCAACCAAGGTGGCCCAAACTTTTATATAAGACCTTTAGACTCTAGATACTAAATTTTAAGTCTACAATGTTATTCTAATTTAGCATTCATCTGAATAGATCTTGCTTTTGTAAGTATTTGTTTTTTATTAAAACTTTTATCATATAAGAGATCATTGTGTTTTTTCTTCCAGAAGGCATTTGGTAAATTAAGAAAAAGATTATTTTTTTATTTAAAAAAATATGAAATTCTTTTTGTAAAATAGGACTTTGTAACTAATTTTTAATTTTTTTTAAAAAAAAGCTTCTTGTTTAAGATGAATGAGATCAACTTCTTTTTCTTGAATCAATCCATTGATGTGATGAGTATAAATAGAACATGTTTTGATCAAATTAAAATTTCTAGTCTTTGAATTTTCTAAGGAAGAAAAAACAAGTTTCAAACCATTTATTTTTAAAAAAATACTTTCATGATAAGTTTTGTAAGGAGTAATTATGTCAATAAAAGAAGTAAAAAGAATAACAATATTATTAATATTATTTGTAATAACAAAGAAATTTTTTATATAAAATCCATTATTAAAAATCGATGCTTGAGTTTGTACTTAATAGCTAATTTAGTATAATTTGTTGCATAAATTTTTTTAGAAGTGTTTTATAAAAATCATTTTGGAGTTATTCTTTCTTTAATACAATTCAAATTTGCAATTGTAATAAACAAGACAATAGTGTCTATTTTTAAATCATTTGAAAAGATCAATGTAATTTTTGTGATATACTTTTTTGAAGTTTTTTAGTTAAAACATGCAGAAAGTCTTCTGAAACATGCTCAATATTTGACAATGCATGACTCTCTAGGGTTTTTTTTTTGAATTCTAATTCAAAATCAGACCAACTCTTTAACTTTACAAGAAGGTGTTGTAAAATAATAGATTCTTTTTATTGGGCCTATTTAAGATTTTGTAGTTCAATCTTAAAGTTTTTTTTTTCCAAACAATAGTTTTAGGATAGTAACAATATGTTTAAATTATTTTTTTTTGTTAAGAATTTTGGTAAGGTCACGGGTATTTATACTGGTTGATGGTAACAATAATTATTTTTTAATAGATTATGGTGTTTCTAGTTTATCACAAATACTCACAAGTTTGTCTAGATACATTTTTTTTTATAATTGAGAATCATCAAGATTTTTTATAGCTTCAAGAATAAATTCTTGATATTTGGATAGGACATTTATTTGTTTTGAAGTAGTATGGGTTAAATGTTCTTAGTCAAAACTAGATATTTATAACTTATCTATTTGGAAGGGTTCTTCAGAAGAGTTGGAAGAGTTTGTCTCAGAATTAGTGGCATTAGTGGCATCGTATAACTTTTTAGTTTAATTGAAGTTCATGGAGTTTGATATTTATTCAGCAAAACCTAGATGTATGACTTTTTTTGTTATATTTGTGATAGGTAATATTTTTAAGTCAAATTTGGGTTTGGGTTTTAACTAAGAATATTTCGTGGGTTTTCTATTTATCTTTTTGTAGTAGGGCTTAGTTTTGATATAAAAACTTTTTATGTATTTGTGTGGTGGCTTATTGAGTGTTCTGTTAGGTTTGGAAAAGTTCCCACCATAGGTTGGCTTCTGTAAGGATAAGTCAAATTGTTGACAAAATATACCTAGTTCTTGTCTAGATCATCTATCACTGCCTTGTCTAATGTTGTTTTCGTTGCTTCTTGTTGTATTGCTCAGTCCGTCATGTTAAAACTGGAAAACAAGTGGTTGATGATGAGAAAATCCAAGTGATGGCTGTTGTTCTTATGTTTAGGATGGAGAAGTCGCGTGAGTGGTGTTATCAATAGTTGTGGATCAAGGCTAGTTAGAAGAGACTGGGAAAGTGCGGTGGTGCATGGCTTGGTGGTGGAGAAAGAGGGAAAAGAGGGTTGTTTTGTTGGAAGTACAGGAGATTTGGCCGGAAACCACCCAGGTTGCAGGAGAGAAGAAAGCGTGGAACCCCATCTCTTCTTTTTTTTCAGAAAGAGTTATTCTTTTTTATTTTTGAAAATATACTAGAAAAGATGTCAAAAATAGATTATGACATCATGACATGCACATTGCCAAAACTTATGACAATATAAACAACCATGAGTCCTGAAGCATAGTTATCACATCTAACCCAGAATCTGACCTCGTGAACGTGTAGGAGACAAGTCCTCCAATCATCGGATCAACCCACTCTCTTATTTGACAATTGGGCTTTCTAAAAACACATCAAACGAATTGAACTATCAAGTTCTCTTCCAAAAAGTTCTATAGCACTCACAATTTTCTTAGGATATGAACTAATACTCTGATGGATTGTCAGAGGAAAGAAAGAGCGGCTATGAAGGACAAACTAGGAAGAGATTTCCACTGCAAAAAACTTTCAATTTCAGCCAAAACGAGATCTTATCCAACTGAGAAATTCTTTCCTCGGCACATCGTTGATTATCCAAGTGGGTTACTTCTATCATTTTGAGCTGGGAATGCATTTCTATTAAAGGGGTCATTGTGGGTATTAGCTTGAAGCTAATTATAAATGTATAATGGGTTAAGTCATCCAATTTACAGCAGTGGTTCCTTTTCCCAGCAGCTTTGGCCAGCCAGTACGCTGCTGCATTTATTTTTCCTATTATGAAGGGGGTGAAGTCTCCAACTTGCTGATTTGTATATAACCATTGACACGATCCAAACAACTGACAGACATGAACTTGAACTAAGAAAAGAAATGGAGTATAACCAAGAGAAAAACCTCGTTTAAAAGGGCCTTGGGACTATATATTCATGCCAAGTTGTCATATTACCACTCTAAAAATTGTGGTACCATTAGTCCTTGAAATACCCTTGGCAACTCTCCACCAAGACCATACAGCTAAACGGCAGAAAAAGTTTTCACCAGTATCATGTAACATATGACAACACATCTTTGGTCACAATAATCTAAGTACTGCTTAAATCCTAAGTAAAGGGATGGCCTCAGAAGACAATTATGGTCAACCATGTTTTATGAAATCTTTCCAATTCATTTTGTCAAACTATCCACATATTGCACATAAATAACTTAGCACATATATCCATTTCTGAAGACAAAAGGATGGAAATGAAATAGATCACTCGAAAGTGAAAATACATTCATGTATTCTGGGACACAGTCTTGCACCAATTTTATCGAATTGCTCCAACCAAATTGGCACCATCAAGCTTTGCATCTTCCAAATGCTGTGGTAGAAACAAGATATTAGATGTTGGATTGCAAAGCAATCCCTGCAAATGCGAATCAAGACTGGAGATCTAAACCAGAATATGCACATGGTGACCAAACTCTGGATCACATTAAATCTTCTTTGACCTTAGAGCTCTCAGCTCAAAAAATCAATCTTCATTTGTTTATATAAAAAGCTTGTAGCCAGTCTCTTTCACAAAAACTAATTTCAAGTAGGATTATGCAACTTGAGGAATTTGAGGACGATCCATAAAAAGCGTTATTTATTTAATTTGATAAAAATGAAAACTGGTAAGCAGAGAATACTGAGATGTTACGCGTAAAAATCAGTGTTCTTAATATCATTGTCATAATGGCACACTACATTGACAAACATTCTAATTAATTATCTGCTTGCTGGGTAACGGAACTCACACATTGTCTGAATGGTTAGAAAGTCTAATTAATCTAAATTATCAATCCCTACACTGGACAGAGAACAATTACTAACCAGCATTGCCATGTTCTTGTTCTTTGACATTATTGCACTTCAAATGCACCATCAAAATATCTTTGATTCAACGCAATTTATTTTCTGTATATATTATTTCATTATACAAATTTCTGCATGAACAATTTGGTTCAGTGGTGGCAAGTTCTGCTGATATTCATGACCTAAGCAAGCACTATCATATGTTGTGACACAAATGACTAAATCTTTAGTCTGTCTCTGTCAATCTCTCAGCAGAAATATTATTTATCTTATGAAAATATTGATGCAACATGCAGTAAAAATTTTAGCATTCCCCGTGAATCTTGCACATGTTTAAATGCTCACCATTATCAGCATTGATATCAACATCAACAGACCTTTCTTTTTTCCTTTCCAGGAATTGGAACGCAATAGGTTTAAAGAAAAAGAGGTGTTCACCAAATGATGCAAACAATCACTTAAGCAGATTAAGAATCTAAAAATCATTGACATCATAGAAGCAAATTTACTTTAGGCACCTCGGAATTCAAGAACAATGCCATTCCATCTCCAAGCACATATTGATTGAGAGGCCAAGTAAAAGTAAGGTTTTCTAAACATACAAATCAGTTGTTACTTACTGTATTTTGAAGATTGACATGTCGTAGATAAGCCCGTTGAAGATTTGCACCCTTTAGATTGGCATTATTCAATTTTGCACCCTGAAATATGTCAGTTTCAACAGGTTAGACTTAACAGCTACACGAGTTGGGAAAGAAACTTGATTCTGCAGGGACATCCCTTCCTGCAGCCATTCATATTCTGCTACATCCACTAATAAACTGCTTCAGGCCCCCATTTTTTTTCACACATTTGATTTCACCTCAAAAGCACGCCTTATTATCATTTTATATTTACATTCATGGTTTCAACATTGCAAATGTTTCTACCTTCAGATTGGCTCCTTCTAGATTCGCTCCTTCCAAGTTGGCATTAGTGAGATCAGCAGTCTGAAATTAGGTAACTGATCAGGATAATATATGAAAACAACCTCCAGGCCAGAAACAAATATAGGCTCATGCCTCATGTTTTACATTATGCATAAATCCATAAACAATTTCAATTAGATTCAGATTGGCTCCTTCTAGATTAGCTCCTTCCAAGTTGGCATTAGTGAGATCAGCAGTCTGAAATTAGGTAACTGATCAGGATAATATATGAAAACAACCTCCAGGCCAGAAACAAATATAGGCTCATGCCTCATGTTTTACATTATGCATAAATCCATAAACAATTTCAATTAGATTTACTTCTATGAGCCATAAAGAGCAATATCAAATAACCAAATTATGGTTAAAAAAAAACACAAGGAAGAAGAGACCCATTCCTATTGATATTTCTTCTCCATATGAAGCATGTTATCATTTTTGCCTCCTAATAACAATATGGACTTTTGTTTGATAAATAAGAAAGTAAATGTTTCTAGCAAGTACTTTACACATAATGGCAATTGAGTTCAAGGAATAATAAGATGCCTTAGATATTACGTTAGTTGGTGGTACACAATGATTATCATTCGATTCTGCTCGTCCAATATTTTAATTATTGGATCCCTTAATCGGCAGGTTGAACTAGATTTCCTAATTCAAGCAACCAAAGCACAGAGTGTGAACCAGAATCAAGCCCTGTTCTCACAGTCAATGAACATTGAAGGAATCACACCAGAATCACCAGCTAATTAGTATGGTCACTCAATAGAGTGAAGAGAAAACAGGTGCAGATATGAAATTCAGTTACTTCAAAGATTAACAGATGCTGAACCTGTAAGTGTGCAGAGCTCAGATCTGCTCCACAAAAACTGCAATCAACCAGACAAGCATCTGCAACAGAACATGAAATGAAAGTAAGTAGTTTCCTACAGAGATTTCTATGAGCATTACAAATTAAGCAATAGCATCTTTGATAATTATTAAAGCAAATCACACCAAGAGGATGGGGAATTTCGAGGAAAAAAAAAGCAAAATTTTAATGTCAATAATATTAAGCAAGCATGAAATGGTCAGGTCAAGGTTTCCACTTGAAGGTATGAAGAATTTTTATACACAAAAAAATAATGTTCAAGAAAATCTAATTAGGTTAAATAAGATGCTAGAATAGTCACACAAATTAAATAAGATGCTAGAATAGTCACACAAATTAGTGATTAGATTCAAGAAATAAATTATATGTCATGGAATTGAAGCCACAGGCCTGTTAATATGCAACAGTGCGATTGGCGATAGTCATATTAGCCTTGAGTAGAGAAACTGGTTAAAGCATCCTATTCAATAATCAATATCATAAGAATTACTAAAAACATTACCTTGTAGGTTTGCACTCTTAAGGTTGGCACCTGCTAATAAAGCGCCTCGGAGATTTGCACCAGTAAATTCACATCTTCCCTAGGCATGAAACAGTCATCAAGAAAGCATTCTATAACACTAGTTCACAAACGGATCCAGTTTTGGTTTGAGTGTCTTACTCCCGCAAAGTTGCATTGTGGAATATGGAACCCTCAGCATCCACATCCTGTGATGTCAATTTAAAGGTTTCAATATGATCCATTAAAGAGATAAAGTGGGAAAGGAGCTGATCACAGATAACAACTATGTGATATTTCTCAGATAGCTAAAAGCAGCGTGTGGTAAAGGAGCTAATCACAGAGAACAAATATGTGTGTGTGTGTGGGTGGGTGGGTGGGTGGGGAGGGATTTGACCAAATAAGGCTTAGAAGGGTTATAATGTAATTTATAGTTGTATATGAATTGGCTAAGACATGTTATAAGAAAGCTTTATATATGTGTGTGTGTGTGTGTGTGTGGGTGTGTGGGTGGGTGGGTGTGGAAGTGGGAGTGTGTGTGCATGGGCATGGGCGTTTGTTCATCAGAAGAAACACATGATCATCAATCCAGAATAATACTGCCCTCCCCAATCTTGATTCCTTTTTTCCCTATATCAAATTGAATATCCACAATGCTAAAGTCAAATCATAATTTATCCCCAGTTATTATATGAACCCTGCTAGAACTTTTGTTCTTACTTAGAAAATGAAAGTAAACATGTAATGGGAAAGAACAGTGACTGCTTCAGCTTAAACAATGAGCACAAGAATTCAAGACATGCATTATAAGGTAGAGGGAATTCATTGCAGTGACCATAGTGTGAGTTCCAAGGAAGTACAGGGAAAAGACAGTGATGAAGTTGTTAGGGACAGGGTGGATTACAGGTATGTGAAATTACACTCACCCGGAATTTTGCACACTGTAGGTTTGCACGAGAGAAGAATACATTTTTCAGAGATGCATAGCTGAAGTCAACATATGAGAGGTCCTGCATCTCAATAAACCACACATCAGAGGATACAATCATTTACTTTAAAATCTAAGCAAGCCAGCTTTCTGTAATATTTTTTTTTTTGTCCTTCACAAGTTGTTCCTAAAACAGTTGGAGTTGAAGAAGACAGCATGAAATCACAACTGTCTTTTGACAAAAGTTATACTTTCTCTAAAAAAAACTCCAACAGTACAAATAACAAATGAATCTATTGGTTGATTTCAGAGAGACACATCTGCCAAGGATAAACATAAGAAAGCAAGAGAAAACCTTCCAAGAACTCCAAACCCAAAAGACTTACCAGTTTAGAGAGATCAAGGCCAGAAAAATTAACTCCTCGAAACTTCACTTTCTGATATTGTACACATTTGATGATATCTGCCCGTGTCAATTCAGCTTCCAACTCATCACCTTCCCTTCTCCTAGTCAGAACAGAATTGATTTCTTCTACGAGACCCTGATATATAAGGTCACAGAGGGGCAAAAAAAGGAAAGTCAGAAACATTAGGGATATGGTTGACATTTCTTTTCCTGAGCATTGCTATCCACATGAATCTAAATGCATGCATATGGATCTCTCAGTTTTCAGGGATGAGCAATGAAACTCATTACAGAACAATGCAATGTAAAAATAGATTAGCAGAGAAAATAGAAAACATAAAAATTTGACTCCACCAATCTAATAATTGGAAACAACTTTCCTATCAAAATCTCAGGGTCATACTTTCCCACATGTCAAGAAATGCAACCTAGCACTACATGTCACGCAATGACTTCCAGTTCTTTCAAAAATTTATGCAGATATTTTAGAAAGGTGTTTACAGGGGAAGTCATGTGAAGTTTCTAAAATCTGCACGCTCCTTTTTGAAAAAGCCTGCATGCAAGCTCAGGAGATCTCCCGCTGCCTGATGTGCAGGGAAATTATTGTCCTTTCAAAAAATGCAATATAGAACAATCCCCCCCCCCCCAAAA